TTACAGTGAGATATAGATATATAGTAAGATAATGAGATACGTGATGCCCTGTGTTCCTATAGGATTCTTACACAGACCCTGCTTCACTGTCCTGGTGAGTGTAAGTTCTGTGATGGTTTAAAGACCATGTGAAAGTCATGCTGGACGTAGTGCCCACAGCAGTTCTTGCTGGACTGTGACCCTAGAGTAGCATTTCAAAGACCCAAAGGGTATTTCATCCTAAGCCTTCACCTGCACGTGCCCATTTAACAGAAACACCTTACGTCCACACTCTGCTTTTGAACTCTCAGCTTCCAAAGTTAATGATAAACATTTGCCGGTTCATGAGACTGTTGTAGCCATGCTATTTTGAAGGTTTCCTGAAAGAAAGATGCGAGAAATGAGCTTAGTTTTCCCTGATTTCTGCCCAGGCATATCTGTTCTGTGGGTGTTCTGGAGATCTTCCCAGAAGGAAGATCTCAAAGCCCTCATTGCCAATCATGAGTAAGAGTTTTATTTATTGAGGGAGAGAGAGAGAGAGAGAGAGAGAGAGAGAGAGAGAGAGAGAGAGAGAGAGCATGTTCAATGCCGTGATATGAATGAGAAGTATCAAGTTGGTTAATCCGGACAATTGTTTATCTTCACCTCCACTGAAGACCTGGGGGAAAGAGCCACATCATTTATTTCCTTCCCCTTGAAATACCTGCACCAATTCCTCTCATTCCCCAAGGATTCAGTACTGCTATCGAGAGTCAGCTTCCTTGAGACTGAGCTGCCTTCTAAGACTACAACCTTGGGCACATCAGGTAATTCCCTGACTTGTGCACCTTATAGAATACAATGAGAATATGTATCCCTCTTTATCTTCCATTCACTTTACCAAAGAAAGTCACTATGAATGTGCTAAGGAAATGCCCTCCCTGTGAGGATAGTTTGTGTTCTCAATGAAGGTCTCAAGATGAGACCTTTCCTTCTATACTCAGACATCATCAGGGCAACACCACTATTAGGCAAAATATATACAGATGTCAAAAATAAACATAGATGCCTTAGTGACCTTTGGGGGAGGACAAGCAGTGAGAAAGGGTTTCTCTAGCCTTGACTCTCCTGGAAATCATTATGTAGCCCAAGCTGGCTTCAAGCCCAGGCAATCCTCATAAATCAGCTTCCTAAGCGATAACACTATACATGTGAGCCAACATGTCTGACTTACTTTTTTGCTGCTGTGACAGGGTACCTGAAATAAAGGAGGAAAGACTCAGTTGGGCTCATGGTTCAGGAGACACACACAATTCATTATTCTTGTTGGGAATGATGGTGGGAGCTGCCACGGGCTCAAGCAGCAGGAACCAGAATCAGCTGGCTACAGCCTGTCAGCAGTCAGAAAGGAAAGAGAACTCTGGGCAGAACCTGGGATAAGCAAGGGCACCTAAGTCCCGCCCCTACTAACCTACTTCTTCAACAAGATCCTTCCTCTAAAAGCCACATAGTCTCCCAAAACATTGCCACAAACGGGCCAGTGTTGAAACACACGAGCCTAGTGGGAACATTTCACATCCAAACCTATAATGGTAAAAAATGAACAATATGAGACTGAATTCTTAAAATTTCTCTGCTTCATTCTTTTGTGCACTATCCTCTTAAACCCCAGTTCCATATATTAGACAGGCCAAGTTTGGGTCCTACTTGTCCTCCTGGTCCCTTAATTTAAGGGAAAAAGAACCTGAAGGTCCACCCTGAAATTGAAATTGAGAGTTGCAGTCTCAGGGCATGCACACTCTAAATGTAATATTTCAAGAATACATCCTTGCATACAGAAGCTAACTCTCCAAATCTCTTGTATGTTTGCTACAGCCACTATAGTAAAACTCCATGGACTAGGTGGCTTAAACCAGATGAATTTATTTTCTGACAGTTGGGAGGCTCTAAAGTCCAAAATGATGTATCATCGGGTTTGGGTCCTCCTGAAGTTCTCTTCTTTGTCTTCTAAGCAGCCACCATACCTGTGTCCCATTCAGCCTTTCCTCCATGAACTCTTGCTGTCACACTAGTCTACCTGGGTAGAGTTTACACTGAAGACTTAATTTTAATTTGATGAATAATTTGAAAGGCCTTATGCTCAAATTCAGTCACATTCCAAGGTTAGGGCTTTAACACACGAATGCTGAAGGCACAAATTTGCTTATAATAGAATCTGTAAACTCAAGTGGAGGATGTAGACAAGAACATCACTTCAACAATGTTTTCTAAATAAGCCATCATCCAAAAATCATATTGTCAATATTGGTACTTTTCTGTTGCTATGATAAAACACTACAACCAAAAGATACTTATAGGAAAGTTTATTTATGGTCCCAAAGAAGTAAGAGTCCATCATGGCAGAGAAAAACAGCAGCAAGAGGCAGGCATAACAGCAGAAGAAAAAAGCTGAGAGATTACATATCAAGCACGAGCAGAAAGTAGAACTGGCCCAGATGACTACAGACAGCTCTCAGCAAATAATACATATGTGGTTGCCACTGAGAGAAAGCCATAGTGATTTTGAGAATGCCACTGGCTACCCTTTCATCTTAGGGTTACTTCTGCTCTGATGAAATACCATGACCAAAGGCAAGTTGGGGAGAAAAGGGTTGATTTGGCTTACTCTTCCAGGAAGTCAGGACAAGGCAGGTTATTGGCTAGCTCAACCTGATTTCTTATAGAACCCAGGACCAACACCTAGGGATGGTACCACCCACAATGGGCTGGGCTTTCCTCCATCAATCACTGTGGAAACCCAGAGAATTGATTGCATTTCTTTTTGACTTAAAGTCAGAGAGTTAGAGCCTATTGTTACTCCTTCAAGGTCAAACAACTGATGTTTGGCCTAAAGTGTGGCTGTTGTATGTCTTGCATTGACAACAGGATGTCTGTTCTAAAATATGAATGCAACAGGATGTTTGGCCTAGGATGTGGTCTCTGCATGTCCTGCCTAAACAACAGAATATTTAACTCAGGATATGGTTACTTGGTGTTTTGGATATTGTGAAGGTAATTATGTTTGCTTGTTCTTTATATCTTGGTAAGGAAATCTTTTGCCTTCTTCCCCTCTTTTGATGGGGGTAGAAAAAGATTTTGAATAAACATGGGTGGCCCTCTGACTCTATTTCTTGTCTTTTGTCTAATTCTTTCCTCAATCTACACTCCTCCTTCTAAGCATGGACCAAACAGACTAGCCTGTGGGACTGGACAGAAGCCCTCCTCTCTGCCCCCCCCAACTCTCTGAACAAGGATTACTACAAATCACTAATTAAGAAAATGCCCTACGGGCTTGTCTACAGATAGATCTTAGGGAGGCTTCTCCTTTAATGAGGTTCCCTCCTCTCAGATGACTTTAGCTTATATCAAACTGGCAAAATACTATCCAGCACAGAATTGAATTTGCAAGTCAAACATGAAGTCTCAAAGCCTATCTCCAGTAACATAATTCCTCCATCAAAGCCACACCCCCTAAACCTCCCCAAACAGCTCCACCAACTGGAGCCCAAGTGTTCAAATATCCAAGCCTATGGAGGACATTTCCCTTTCAAAATGGCACAATCATTATAACAGCCATTGTAACTACTTTTTTTTTCTTAAATACTGTCACTCACCTCAGGAAACCAAATTTTTCATCTGTAGAAAAGTCCTACCATAGTAGGTTAGAGAATTAAGATGTTTAAATCCATTTGCTATCTGGGTGGCCTTCATAAATTGTATTTATTTTTGTGTACCTCTATTTTTTCAGCCAGTAATGAGGAGGGAGAAAGTAATATCTACTATGTAAGGTTGCTGAAAGGATTAAAAGAAGCAGTGAATTAAAATGACCAGCTAATAGTACATGCTCAATAAATGATGGTCGTTTCCCTGAATGATTTTTAGATTTGCTGCAGCTCCATCTCTCTCAGCCAGGAGAGGTCCTCATCATATCCAATGGGGACTCATTTCTGCATGAAAGTAGTCACTCAGTTCAGCTTCCAAACTCAGTGGCAGAGAAACTAATCAAAGAATCACAACCCTGTTTGAAGGTAGAAAAGACTAGAAATAAGAGAATAAGAAGCAGTTAAGTTCCCATGGCAAAGAGTTACTTGAACAGGTGAACATGAATGAAGATTGTCTAAGGTCTAGTACTTATGGCCACCGATACTAGCTTTAATTGTATCTCAATTAGCTCATCAGCCTAGAGTTTAAAAATTAATGGCAAGAAAATAGGAAGAGAAACACATACACACACACACACACACACACACACACACACACACACACCATGGACAAGCAGAAAAAATGAATTGACAAGTGTTTGTAAACTTCTGTAGAAACAAGAAACCCTGCTAAGTAAACATTTAATATTGCTCACAATATTAGCTGGCTTCTTCATGGTGAGCTATATCCATGCCTGAGTGTTGCATCTACTGCAGTATATTCTGTTTAACCTCCTTTTCCCAGACAGGCACACACCTCCAAATTTAATTATTCTGTCAATTGTGTCTTAAATTATACTGATTTCCATTAAGTGCTTGTGGTATCCATTTGTTGATCTTTTCCTTCTGAACCATATCTTCACACCCACCAAAGCTGGAAAGGCAATTAACGTGAGGACGATGAGTTAGTCAAGAGAAATCAAAGAATAAAGGTAAAGGCAGTGGCAACTCTGGGATTAAAAAGAGCACTAAGGGAAAAATACACGCATACTAAAAGTGCAGTACCGAAGCAGGTAGAGCCTCCGAGGGAAGAGAGGCGAGCAAGGTAGAAATCCAGCTTGCGACTCTTCCATTTCTCTCAGCACCAAGGACAGAGCTTCTGAGCCGCTAACCCAAACAACGTTCAGTGGGGTCCCTCCCCAGCCTCTAGGGAACACAGGTGCCTTGGAGAGGCAGCTAGGTCTGATAGGAAAGCTGCAAGAGTAGTTCACAAGTAATTTCCACCTCAGAGGCAAAACCAGGTGATTTTCTTTCTGTATGGAAATGATTCCATAGTTTCTGTGTCCTGGGAAAGGCAAAGTTTGCTTTGCTTCCGTGTGTCTGCCGTCAGTAAATGGCTTCAGGAACTGAGGTGCTGAACTCCACAGTCTCCAGACACCAGAAGAAATTTTCAGGGTAAGTGGATTTTTCTTTTCATTCCTAATTTAGTGGCAGATTATTTGATTAGCTTGGAATGCTTTGCTTCTCTAAGAATATGCGTTAAATCTCTAGGTTTAAAACATAGAACCCCGAGCAAGCTTTGTTCATTTCATTAAGGGGTTGGAGCTGCTCTTTTTTTTACCCCACCCTCCAACCCCTGTGTCCTGATGGGCACTAGAATCTATATCAAGGCATACATAAAAGACAGAAAATAAAAACCAGTAATTATTCCTGGGAGTTGCAGGGAGGTTGACTGTATTCCTCTTAAGGGTTTTACTTAATTGTCAGAGTCTGATATTTTAAACCCCCCATTTCATCACCCCAGTAATGCAGGGCCGAGGGTTTAGAGTTACTCTGTTTTCAATCTATTTAAAGTCAAGCTGCTTCCAAGTCAGAATCCAATTATCCCAACAGAGATATGTAGTTCTTGAAAGCATGATTGTGTGTGTTTTTTCCAGTGATTGTATATGATTCAGACGGCATCATTGTTTAACTGTGGGACTTCTATTGCTTACTGTGGCTTATTGGGTCAACAGAGTTTGTGTAATTAGGCACTTGTGCCACTTAATGCATCAGTTTAGTCTAATACCATCTCAATGCATGCACAAACAATAATGTAGCAATAGCAAAGTGGAACTCAGATTCTAAACACATTCCTCATGCCTGTTTGCACTTTACAGGTACAGCCCTTTGCTGATACTACAAGGTCAGAAAACTGTCTGCCCTTGGGCAAGAATGAATGACAGACATATGACCTGGCCTTGAGATCCTGTAGTGCCCAAAAAGAGAGACAATATGAAATTCCTACTTGTTTATTTATAGTTGAGTATTTTCAAGGATCTGCATGGCTAAGAGTGGACAAGGATGTTGAGTAAAGAAAATATTGATAGCATCCTACCAGAAGTCTCCTTATAATCAAACAATCAAAATGTCAAATATCAAATAGAGTCTACCCAGTATTAGATTTAATTTCTAATGCACTAAGGTTTACTATCAATTAATATTCACTTATTAGTTACTTGGTCTACTGAACTTCCCCAATTTATCTCTGGTTAAGATGACAAAACTGTCTGTGAAGATTGTCAAGGAAAGTAAGAATGCTTTATTGGTCAGGTTCAATAAAAAAAAGAATTGTATTATGTTAGCTAATGGATCTCAGTAAAACCAACCATGGCTTTTCCTCTGTCTATGTACCAACAATGTAAATACATCCAATTCTATAAATATGCTATATACGTCAATGCACTTGTGAGTCTTCATTATGAAATGAATTAGAGAGCAATTTGCAAGAATAAAGAACCATAGAAATGCTAAAGACTACCTCTAATAATAATGACAATATAACTCCCACCGGCTCTGTGAGCAGGGCACACCTGCATTGACTTTAAAGGGCTGGGTAAGGAGATGTGCACAAGCTACTCTGAACACGCAGAATCTTCACATTATCCCCAACTCCAGGTTTGTCTGCTTCATCTCCATCATGGAGGACTTCAGGGCAGAAGCTCTGGACCCAGTCTTGGGTTGAATTGACTCCACCATTCACTGGTTTATGATCTCAGCTAGAAATTAATCTCTCTGTGACCCAATCTCTTCATCTAAAGAATGGGGATGATAATAGCACTTACTTTATTCTTCATATTGTCTGGGAATTTCAATATGACAAGGCTTATAAGTATTAGCTGTTAGAATTATTAATTTAATCAGGCAATTGGAAAGTCTGAGTTGAAGCAAAGGCTGGAAAAACTGGACACTGGTGATCAGCATGTTTGTTAGTGAAAAGATGACAGATGTCAGGGACCTGGATTGTGAAGGAAGATCTATCATGGAGGCCACTGGTTCATTCTGGCTTAGAGAAACTCCACCTCAATGTTGGAATGACTCCCAGCATCAATTTCTACCACATACACATACTAAGTAAAGTTGTGAGTTTTCAACTTGAGAAGCCCCAATCAGAGGTTGGCTCACACCATACACTGTGCAATTGTTGTCAGGGAGAAGGAATACAAACAAGAACTCATTTTCTCCTGGTTCAGAAGAAATGAACTTCTTCGTGTGCATCTGACTATGGCCTTTCCTCAGTGCCTGGGTTTTAAAGGTTTTTGGTCCATGGTCATTCTGCCCTATTGCTGTGGGCCTCTAGTGAGAGTGTCACAGCAGAGAGGATGTGACAGAACAGAGATGTTCTCCATGGAGACAAGACATCACACTGTATGATCTTGAGAAAGTTGCTGAACCTCTCTGTGTCTCTGTCATAATGCTTAAGGGGAAGATGTCCATATCTCCCCTCAAGGGATACTGTAAAGGTTAATAGATGTCACATGGGAAGTATTAGTGTCTGCCTCACACAAGAAATATCCCAGAAGTGCTTGTCTTTGGAAGGAGGCTAAATACTCAAGGTGTCTGGTTTTGTTATGTTTGGGGTTTGATTAATTCATTGTCTTTTAAGGAAAAGAAACAAATAGCTAAATCATACACATCTTTTTTAAGTATTTCTTTCATTTTGAGATTATAATATAAATGCATCATTTCCTACTTCTTTTTACTCCCTCCAATCCTTCTTACCTTCCTCTCTTTTCTTTCTTTCTCTCCAAAATCCACAGCCTCTCTTTTCACCAGTTATTGTTATATGCATCTATGTACATGTACACATAACCTGCTCAGCCTATATAATGTTATTTGCATGGCCATTTGGTTTTGGATAACCAAATCGGTGTGCTCTTCCCTGGGGAAGACTATTTCTCCAGCTCTCAGCACATAGGCTGACAGCCACCAAACCCTAGCACTCTGTCTTAGGCTCCCACAGCGCTGGAATGATAGGCATTCATCCAGCCTTATACAGATTTCTACCTGCGTGTTAGAGAGTTGAACTGAGATCCACAAGCCTGCCCAGCGAATGCTCTTCCCCACTGAGCCAACCCCTCAGCCCCCCTTCTTTGCTGTCTCACCTTCCATATGCTCTTAACCCCTAACATTCTCTGTTGAGGTCACCAGTAAGCTCCTGATCACTAAGTCCATCAGATGACTGGCAGTTGTAGCTTATTTCTGTCCTTTGCATTCTCCCGCCTTCCTATTAACATCAAAAGCTGCATGCTAGGTCTTACGCTGGATCAACACTTCTCCAGTAGGAGAGTAATTTTGCTCCCTCCCCATTTGAGATTGAGCAGCATCCAGTGTTTTGGTTATTACAACTAGTAGCTAGATCAGGGACACTGTTACCCATCAACAATGCATAAGACATTCTGCAAAACAAAGAATTGCCGGCCCAGTTGTTCATAGCGCCAAGGCTTTAAACACATAATTGCATTTGGTCTTCACAATAACCCATGAAGTGGGCATGATTTATCCTCAGTCTGCTGATGAAATAACTGGTCTATCATTATGAATTATTTGGAGAGTGATTATTAAGTTAGTAAATTCTTCAGACTCCCAGCTTCATCCTGAGATGAGTTTACTATCTGTTAGCACATCAGAAGGATAAAGAGGGGGGACAAACAACCCAGCTCACAGTTATATAAGAAATCCTCATCTAAAAATTAAAAAAAAAAAAAATCAAAAGGGGGTGGAGTGGAAATAATTAGCATAGAGGCAGGGAGCACTGTAGCCTATCTCCCTCAACCCTGCTTCCCAGAACTCTGGAACAACCATGCTCTACTTACCTGCTGCTAGGAGGAATCTCAGACTGGAAGTCATACAGTGTGAAAGTATAAACCAAAAATCCACGTAGTTGTGCTTCCAACACCAGGTCCAGAACTGACTTTGGGAAGTGAGGACTGCCCTTCTTACAGTCAGCTCTTGACATTGCCTGTCCCCATGTTAAGTGGCTGTCAACCCTCTAGGCCGAACACAAAAGCCGGCAACATGGTGGCAAGAATCCCATGGCTTTATGCTTCCCTTCTCACTTGACAGGTAAGAGAAGCTAAGGTTTCATTAAGCAGCTACAGACTCCAGGAAAGGAGGAGATGCTGGCCCCTCCTTGAAGGTGGCCCAGCTGTGAAAGGCAAGGTATTCTGGGCCTGAGTCTGCCTCTGAGGGGAATATCCTTGAACAATCAGAAAGCGCTGTGTTTTTCCAAAAGCTCTTGGCAACAGCAATGCTATCTCCAGGGTAGCTGCTGCCCGTCTCCTAATAATAAGGAAATTATAATTATTACCAAGAATTATTATTATATGTAAAAAAAAAAGAATTGGCTGCAAACAATGTGCTGTGATAAAGAATATTTTTAAGTAATTCTCTAAGTGCATTCCAAGTTGGTCACCCTTTTCTAACATTTGTTCATTTTAATACTTGTTTCAGACAGAAATGTTTCGAAATGAGGTGTAAAATGATAGCCATGATTAAGTCAACCATTTAATTCTAGGAGAGCTGTAAGTGACAAGATAGAAAGTAAACAAACCCTGATGACCAGCAACTTCTACTCCCACTACATTCCCACTTCTTCATACCATCACTATGCGGGCAATTATGACTTCAATGGACAGATTTAGGGGACACACAAACATTGAGACTGTGGCAGAAGGCCAGAGTGGCTATAGAGACTGACGTAGGAAGCACATTTACCTGGGTGCCAGGATCACGGTCGCAGACTCCAGGTGTCTTGCTAGCACGTGGCCCTGATGCACTGATACCCTCTGCACACAAGCCTTTAAGTGTGAGATCTTTCATGTCCCATGAACACATGAAAATATGGCTTTGAGAACCCAGAGTTGTTTCTGTGTGGCTGGTTCCTACAAACTGGTATCATGAGTGAAGCTAATGAATTCAGGTATCTTTGCCACTCTGAATGCAAACCCTCTTAATTTTTTTTTCATTTTTTTAATAACCAAGTCCATTTAAATGAAAACAAACACTTATAAACAATATTTGGGAATTTTGGCATCGTTCTTTCCAAACTACTTCCTGCTGGTAAGGGGCGCTGTCATGGGGGATTCGAAGAAGATGCAGCAATCCTGGCTGTAGTCTGTCAGGCTACTTTGTCCAGCTGTTTTGAATGTAGGATCACCTGGTACTCTGTTTCAGGTAGTCTGGCTTGATCAAACCACATTAGTCTGGAAGGAATCCACAGCTTTTCATTTTCTATGGAAACAAAAATAGAAATCCTTTTCCCCAGTAACTTGTCCTTGAACTTAAATTTTGGAGTCAAAGCTTTTATTTTTTTAATTTATTATTTTACATGTCGATCCCAGTTCCCTCTCCCTCCTTTCTTCCCTCCCTCCATCACTCACTCACTTTTACCGTCTCTGCCCTCTCACATGCACCCTAACCACCCTCCCCTCCCATCCCCCCACCCCAATTCCATATGTACGGGAATGCCATCCAGTTGGGGTCATGTAGGTCTGACAGGTCATGTGAAATAGGGACTAGGGCTTCTCTCCTGTCTCTAGGTTAAGGCAGTTATCCCTCCATGGGGGATGTGTTAGCAAGGTCCTTTTGTGCACCAGGGATACATCCTGGCTCCACTGTCTGAGGTCTCTTAGACTGTTCAGTCCTTCTGGCTGAGACCCATATTCAGGGGGGCCTGAGTCAGTCCCATGCTGGCTTCCCAGCTATCAGTCTAGTGGCCTGTTAGCTCCTCCTTGTTCAGGTAATCTGTCTCTATGTGTTTCTGCAGCCTGGTCTTGTCCTCTCCATCTGCATCTGGGTTCTAGTTGGAGTCAAACCCAGGGCTGTGATTTGTGTACATTGCCACTGAGCTATAATCCTGACTTGAGAAATATTTCCACAATGCCTGGAATGAAAATCTTAGGAAATGAGCTCTTTCATTCCTCTATCTTTAGAAGAGAAGTCTGAAGCTCAGAGAGGATAGCGTGCCTGTGGTCCCAGAGTTAGGAAATGGCCAGGAGAATTCTCACGTGCAGCAGCTTCATCCCACACAGTGCAAATATGATTCTTTCTGTCACTCCCACAAGCCCTCAAAGCTCACATCCCTCCACTTGATTAGACGCCAGCTGTACTGGCCTTCCTGCCACTCACCCCACATCCCAGCCTCCCGAGGCACCCATGCTCCTTCTGCTTGGACCACACACTCTACCAAGTGTCTGTGTTGGTGGATTCTTTATCTCTCCCAGCTTTGACTTACTTGCTAATATACCCATGAAGGCTTCCTGATGATGCCAGTTAGAAATCGTTTTCAAATGCTCACCCACATATGCTCTATCCTTAACCATTGCCCAACTCCAGTTTATGATTTTCTTTTCCCCAAAATGCATATTATCACTGAACAGGAATTATCGTAATTATGTTCCCCTCATAGACACTTCATAAGGGAGGAACTGTTTATCTGTTTTGTTCCTACCTGTATCTCTAGTTCTTACAGCTCTGCCTGATATTATGTAGGGAATGCTCTACAAATATTTGTAGACACAGAAATGTTAAACTGTATCTACATATCATATTCCATCCTCAAAGAGTCTCATTTGACCCACACTGTTTTCTATCTTTTCCTAGAGACATTTTGGAGTCGCATTCCTCTGTCTGGGCTATGGCACCTCTGAGCCAGATAAGCAACCACATCAACTCCAGCTGTGGGGCAGAAAATGCCACAGGGGTCAACCGGGCCCGCCCACATGCCTACTATGCCCTGTCCTACTGTGCACTCATCCTAGCTATCATCTTTGGCAATGCCCTGGTTTGTGCAGCTGTGCTGAGGGAGCGTGCCCTGCAGACCACCACCAACTACCTAGTGGTAAGCCTGGCTGTTGCAGACCTGCTAGTGGCCACGTTGGTGATGCCTTGGGTGGTGTACCTGGAGGTAAGTGGCCTCGTGGTACATGTTGCTCCAGAGTGGGTAAAGACTCAGAATACCCCTTATAGTGCTCAGGGGACTAGGGAGGAAGGAGAATCTGCTGGCATCCTCCCTTTAGTGAGACAGCTAATGCTTAAGAAAGCTCATGAGAACCAGAGTCCTGGGAATGTTTCTGTGCCTGCAGGTCTGGGACTGGACTTGAGTGATGGGACCATTCCTAAAATTACTCTCTGTGCCAGCCATGTGCTAGTGATGGAGGGGCATTCTGATGAGCATCTTCAGCCAGGTTCAATGTATATGTGATGAGGGGTAAGGGGGAGAAAATATTCTAATAAATGAGAGAAATTGTAGAATGGTCAGTAGTAAATAGACCAGTCCTCCCTGCCTGTCTCCCTCTTTCCTTCTCTCCTTCCCTCCTTTCCTTCTTCCCTCCCTCCCTCCCTCCTTCCCACCTCTTTCCTTCTCTCCCTTCCTTTCTGTTTCAGCTGCCCTTCTTCTTGGCTCTTTCCTCCTGGGTGGTAGCTCTTCATAGATTCTGCTACCAAAGGATCAGGCTAAATCTTCCGATTTAAAATGTCCATGCCTCCATTAATAGTAGAAAGCCCTCACCACTCAAAAAATGCAGCACAAACTCTGGAGAATTAATCTTGGGAGGAACATTTCTTAAATTTGGAAGTATTTTCATTTAAAGGTGCAAAATAGAGTTAGAAGGTGATCAAGACAAAACATCCATTTGCTAACAAGGAAATCAGGGTGCCTACATCTGTTCAAGAAACACACACCCTTACCAGGAAAACATGCAATTATTAAAGAGATGTTTTAAACGCTTAATATGCTATTAATATTTCTCCTCTGCAGTGAGTGTCACTCTAAAGAGATATCCAATGAAGGATCAAAATGATGCTATGATTAAGAGAAATTAAGATTCATCAAATTAATATTTCAGTTAATATTAATAGTGAAGGTGACAGTTAATTAAGTATGACATATCACGGGAGAGTAGAAGCCTTGAACACAGACTGCCTATGCTAGTACTCGTTTTATAGAGTGACTAGGTACTAAAATTAGACTTATAAGTGCAAGTGGGGGGGGCACATGATAAAATAAATGAATTGGGTATAGAAGGAACAGAAAGGAAAGAAAAACACGCAGGCTGATTGAAATAGTTCTAAAGGAGGAAATATGTATTCCTTCCTCCCAGTTAGCATAATCTTAATAGTGAGAGATCTTATAATTATCTTGACTTTTCTGTCATTCCAATTATGCCAAGTCATCCTTCACTGAGACAATGTCTTGCTCTCCTCCTGGAATCATGCTACTTACTGTAAAGGGGATGAACTATGTATTATTTGATAGCCAGCGATAATGAAAAAAGGAGTTCAAAACATGTCCTCCTTCACATGCCACAAGCCAGTGACTCTTAGTAGCAGTGGCACCCTACTAACTCACTACAATTCAGGGACTCTTTGGCCCTCTCACACCATGATTGCCAGAAGGAAACGGAGGCAAATAAGTTTCCTCCAATAGACCCTTCCGTTTATCTATAACAAAATGAGGCATTCTATATCTATAATAAAGCTGACTAAAGAGAGGGACTCTTGGGCTGGCTGTTTGTGATTGCTTCTGGAAGCCTTGTTGTACCAAAATGGAAAATTTCTGTACATACTTGTTTATAAAATGGACACTGTGACTTTTTTGCACTGGAAAGCCATAGCAATCCCCTTCTAGCCACAGTTGTCAATATTAGTGATGTCCCCAATCCATGCTTGAACATAAGAGAGCAACCAGGTTTGTAGAAAACCATGAGATACTTGGTCAAGGCCCTAACAGACTCTCTGGAGTGGTATCTATGGGTTCTGTCCCATGAAAGGGGATTATGATGGAGCTCTTAGCCACCCTCCTTCCCAAAAAATAAACAATGAAAAGCACCAGCAGGCTATGTGGGGCAGTTTTCAAAAAGCCAGCATATGGTTGATGAAATCTACATTCATCTAAATATATGGAGGGACATGCCTCCACTGGGAAATGGGTTAGCTCTGGAAGCCACTTTTCAGTCTTACCAACTTGCCTCAAGGCTCTAGTGACTAGAGTCTAGCCAATGCAATACAATATCTCAGAGAATTTCTCCAATGCCCAAGGGTCTATCTTGCTGAAGCACAGGGTAAGACAGCCATTATTCAATTATGATATGATTGTGTCCCAGGAAAAGCCAACTGCCACGCCTATTAATGAGGACTGGAGATGGTGCCGTTTGAGCACTGTTCTAGTAATTATCCTTCACACCAAGAGGAAAGGGTGTGGTATGGACCAAAGATGCTGCTGTTGGTTTAAGAGCCAATCAATTTGAGAGCCCTCAGAGGACAGAGCACACATGAGAAGGAAACTACCCAAGAGTCAGAAGACTCACAAAGTCCATAGTCGGACTTGAATATGTTCATCTTTTCTGAAGAAAAATTGACTGACTTTCCCTTAGTAACATGTGTGAGTTAGAGGAGATGTTTCTGTTGGAAATATCAGAAAGCCTGACTTGCTTGATTTAAACAAAAGGGGTTATTTTTGTCACATGCCAGAATTCTGTTGCTGTTACTTAGCTTCCCTGTGGCCTCTTCAAGGTCCATGCTCTTTGATCTGTCCTCTTGGCTGTTTTGGCAAGCTACCCAGTTCCTTATACTATGACAGAGCTGCTGGTGAAATCTCAAGCCATCATCAGTGTCCAAATGCAAGATGGATGAGGATGGTGTCGGGGGTGGGGTTGGAAGTTTGAATCAGCTCAGCATGAATCATCTCCTCAATGGTTTCAGTCTAGCTGGCCAGAACTGAGTCATGAGCTGGACAAGGCCAGAAAAGAAAAAGTTAAAATTGAACTTTTGTTTTTAAAAAAGAATACACAGAGGGCAAAGAGTTACTATAAAGAAGAGGGCAGTAAATTATCATCCAACACGTCCTTTGCTGGAATTCACTGGAATGAGTGCCATTCCCCACGTAATGAGAATGACTCCGAACAGGGCATTTAAAGACATGAAATTCCATGAATTAAATGGGAACAGCAACATTTTTTATGCTGGGCTGATGTTAGACTCAATTGTCATCACCTAAGAGGGTACCTTGGTAGCTAAAAGGCATCTATAAGTACATCCATCCAGAAATTTTTAGTTATAAGTCAAAGCAACCTCAACTACACTCTGCTTAATTTGTAAGCACAGTGAATTGGCTCCCGTTTTAAACAGTCCTGTGGCAGTGCGGGCTACAGGTGTACTCTGACAAGGGTTCAAACTCCGTTTCTCTGCCATTCTTTCTGTTCTGCCTTCTTCCATGCAGACTTCCCGCACAGGCAAAATGATACATCTAAGCCTCACGCGTGCACGCCATACCATCCCTGCACAAGGAGGAAATTATTCCCCAGGAATTCTGGAAGTATCAAAGGTGTTCATTGGTCAAGCTTACAACACAGAACTTTCCACCAAACTGATCACCGGTCAGAACTGGTTTAGCAGAGTTTGAAACTGTGTCCTTCCCAAGGAACACATCAGTAGCTCAGAGTTCTCATGGGTTCCCTATGGAATCCAGGGATGGCTGTAAAGAAGCACAGTCAATGTGAGGCACAGTCCGCTGTCAGAAATGCCATCTTCCTCATGAAGACACGCAGGAGCATGCCCTTGGGAGGTGCATAGCAGGAAACTCATGGGGCCAGTTACAGAACTACCTCAGTGTTCTCTGTCCTCTGTCCTTATAAAGATATTCAGGACCAAAAAAAAAAAATTAAAAAGTATGTGGATGACCTTACAAGTTGAATTTCAGAAGGTGTCTAACTTAGCTGTTTCTTTAATTCAGTTTTCACATTTTTTTCTGGAACACTCTTTTCTATTAAGTGCTGTGGCATTCTATCTCAGATTAGCTCTCCAGTTTCTAATTTCCTGCTCTGCAGCCTGACAGTCTGGAGCTCTCTCTCTCTTCAAGCACAAACATCCTCCTTGGTTCTACTTGGTTAAGCACCTTTTGTGATACTCAAGGCAGTTATATAAGGATGGAGATGGAAAGAAAGAATGCAAGAGAATCTTTGAAATACAAACAGTTCCCACTGCCGATGGTCCGACATAACTTTTTCATCTTTATGATGGTATGAAAGTAATGCACGTTCAATAGAAAGTACACTTCAAATTTTGAATTCCAATCTTCTCCCAAGCTAGCTATACACACAATATCCCCAAGTGTCCCGAGAAGCATCAAGAATCACAGCTTCTATTCAGTCCCATGACCCCGAGGGGAAACTATTAACTGCACTGGCCATGTGCTGCTAAGCTGTGCGTAGCATTTCCAACCTGTAACACTTTCTGTTAGGTTTATTGAGAATTAAATCTCAGTTTGGACAGGAGAAAAGATTCAAGGAATAAGAACTGTAGAAAAAGTGGCACACCCTTCTGAAGAGTTACAGTTAATGATCACAGGGCAGGAGTGGGGGGTGTAAGACATTTTATTCAGTGGTATAGCCATTGCAAAAATGTATGTGTTCCTATAAATAACCCCTTATCCATGCTCTTATAGGCAAATTTAATAATCTCATTGAATCAAACACACACACACACCATGAAAGAAGTATAGGCAAGCAAAATAGAAGAGGGTAGGTCCAAGCAGGGACACACCATGGAAAAAATATGACCCTAAATGAGAGGTCAATGACAGAAAATAGGACTAGGTAGGAAAGGAGTCTTTGGCCCATGAAATGACATCAATTACTAAAAATAAAGCTTTCAGAGAAGAGTTCAAAACCAGATGATAATAATTTGATACCTCCCACCAGAAAACAAAAATAGGGGATTCTGATGAATTCTGGTAAAAGTGGTAAGTAGACTGTTAGAGTTGGAGGAGCTTGGAGATGACCATCCTCTCTGATGTGGGATGGAAGCACAAGAAATTCCCGGCCATATCTGAGTGACAGGCCGGCCTTGGAGCCTCCATTCTAAACATACTCCTCCACGATCCTACATCTTTAGCTCCAAGCTAAACTT